TTCTATATTTAAAAAAGTAGGAACAGTGGGGTGCATTAGTTTTCTTGGTTTTTTTTTAACGAACAAATACTTCCGAATATGTTTTTGCGAAAAAAGATCATGCTTTGTAATGCACCTCAGCAGACGATACTTGACTGCAGCTGATAAATGTGGCCCCCTTAAACAGCGTTAATGTAAACTTGGTTAATTGGTGAATGTAATTGATTCTATCTAAAGCTGTTGTTGGTCGATTTCAGTGGATTGGATGTGACAATGGAAGATAAATGTTGCGTTACCATTGATGACTTGTCAAGAAAACACTCTTTGATAGATTCATTGAATGCTGCGCCGCTATTAAAGGATCCTTTCATTAGTGTTCAGTGTCGGGGACATTTTATTTTTTATTTTATTTAGAATGATATGACACTAATGAAGGTTTGTGTATCATTAATGGCATTGGTAGAATTCTACAGCAAAAGAAAAAAGCTGAATGGGTTGATGTGCTTTATTGCACTTGATGTGCAGTATTGCTCTTCCTTCACTTTAATAAATCTGTATTTTGAGATGCATCCATTGGGATCCTGCTGTTGTGTGTGTGTGTAAAATGGAACATTTTCGTGAAGAAAGAGATGATCCTGCATAGATTCACTATAACACTATGTAGTACAGATAGTCCCCGAGTTACGATGATCCGACTTACGATATTTCGATCTTACGATGGCAATAGCGATACAACAAAATTGTATCTTTTATACATAGCTTTAGCGATCTCATTTCAGGGTTACCACGATACGATACGTTCAATGCATGTTAAACGTTTTTATAGCAGATAGGATTGTTTCCTGAAAAAACTATCAATTAAATAGCAGTTCATATAAGTAGGCTAAGAATTTACTTTTATTTTACTTTACATTTTACTGTGCAATACAGTATTGCAATTATTACATACATACAGTATATAATTTATACAGTACGGTACTGTAAATTGCTCTGTTTTGCTAAATCATCACCATTCTTTAAGACTCCTGGGTAGGCTGGGCCATCTTCGACTTACGATATTTTCGACTTACGATGGGGTCGTCGTAACGCATCTCCATCGTAAGCAGAGGACTACCTGTATATACTATTTGCAATTGTGCTATAGTTCATCCTATATACAATACTATGCACTTGCGAGCCACAGGGACTGTGGTCGTTTACATTTCACTCAGTGTAGGCCAGCGTAGACGTTCATGTGTAATGTAATGTCTTATATAAACCTCGTGTTGGTTGCAGTACCTAACTTTGCCATTGACGTTGTCTCGGATGTCTGGAATCCGTCAGCTTGTGTAGTGAAGATACTATTTAAGGATTTACCTTCAACATCTGCATGTCATTATTTCTGTAATCACTTTAACACTTCCTCAAAATGATATAACATATTACTGCCGAATTACATACCTACAATCATTAGTATTTTGTCTCGCATATTTTAAGGGCAGAAATTAAAATTTCAGTTCCGTCATTTGTTTTCTCATCAAGAACTCGATTAGTTTTGTACTAGATTTCAGTTTTAAAGTGCAGGTCAACTCAACCCGGATTTCCTCTGTCGCCTGACACCTTTCCTGGTGTATATGCTATCAAAACGAGTTAAGAAATATGTCCGCTGAATTCTTATGACACTTAAATTTCGATTTAAAGCTTTCGTGACTGCAGGGATTCATCTTCTTGGTTCTTTCAGTAAAGTCACGTAGAAGGGAAGTAATAAAATAATACAAATAAAACATAATAAAATCAAATAATTCTCACGAGGTTTCGGCTACAACGCAAGCAGCCGTCTTCAGGTGAAGAATGAGACACTGCCAAGCTAGGAGCTTATATATAAGCTGAGTTGGAGGTGGAAGAAGACTTTGAAACCCACCCGCCCACCTCCTACGCATTTTCCATGAATATGCTAAATTCCTCTTGATATGCACATTCTTTTGTTAAGGCTCTCTTTTTCGGCTGCTTGCGTTGTAGCTAGGGGTCGGCACGGTTTGAACCGACTCAAACTGGTTTCAAATTGAGCAAACCGAACCAAACCAAACCAGCGACGACTGAACCAAACCAAACCAAAACCAAACCAAACTAAGCTAAACCAAACCTCTTGAGTTGGCTTGAACCGAAAAGATGTGCGGCAAACAATATTCGCATTCAATACAAATATCAAGTGTATTAATCGCCAATTTCTACGCAGGCTTTCTTCATATTGAGATTCACTAGCAAGTACTGGACGACGATGTCGTCCACAGCCATCTCCTCAAGCTTGGCACGCCCAATGTCCTTGAACGCAGTGTGGTAGTTCAATGGCAGTGAAACCCCAACACTAGGCAACATCCGCGCCCACGAGCGCACACACATCTCGGCCTTGAACGTGCACTTGTGCAGGTTTGGTCGGTCGAGAAAGGAGCGCTTGGCGGCCGAGTTTGCTCCCTCGGAGGGCACGGACGACGCCGGGATAGGCAAATAGTCGAGGGCCACGCGTCGTATGCGCGGGTACTTGCCGCCGTACAGCTTCCACCACTCGACGACGTCCATGCTCAGGTCCTGAGTCGGCTCAAGCAGGAAGCGGTCGACCTCGGAGGCGGCGCCGTCGTGAGCGTTGGGCGCGTAGACCATGTCAAAGAGGATGTTAATGCCGCCACGCGGCGCCGCCTTCGGCGCCGCGTCCGTCGTCAACGCTGGGTAGCGCTGGTTGAGAATGTCCGTCATCATGTCCTTGATATTGCTGTACTCGGCCTTTACAACCAACCAAACTAGTTTGAGCCGGTTCCACCCTGTCCGAGCCAAACCGAGTCGGTTTTCGTAGAACCAAACCGAACCAGTTCAAACAGAGCCAAACCAAACCGATATGGTTCGGTTCAAACCGCGGTTTGGTGGTTTGAGCCAAACCGTGCCGACCCCTAGTTGTAGCCGAAACGTCGTCAGAATTATTTGATTTTATTATGTTTTATTTTTATTATTTTATTACTTCCCTTCTATGTGACTTTACTGAAAGAACCAAGAAGATGATCTTATGACACTATTCAATGAAAAAGCAATTAAAAGTTCGATGTCACCCATTGTTGTGATACTTTTGTTGTTGTAATAATAACCACGTTGATCTGTCCCAATATTCAGCAAATGCTTTTTCTATGCAGTCGAATTATGGTCGCAATCAAGTCCTTTCCAAGTCATTGAAAGTACAAGCTGCTCAGCCACAGGGAAGGAAAAACACATGTGGCTAATTTCTATGGAATCTAAAAAAAAACACCTAATAATGTCACTGCCCTAAGCAACATTTATCACAGAATGTGACCTTGAACTCCGTAGTATTTTTTCTAGCATTAGCGCTACAACGCCTTAGTAGCCGAAAATTTCATCTTGCCGTTTTGAGAGAGGACTTTCAAAATCGACAATGTTATTTAAGGAGACATAATCACCTCGGGACAGTTAACCGCGTGCCATTCGTCTGTGCCGTACCATCAACCCGAAGTCGTTGGACCACGAATAATTGCTTCATTCATATCGCACCTAGCAGCAAAATGAGTACAACAGCACCTTTGACATCACTCACATTATAATGGTAATTTTCAAGCAGATGCCATCCTAATAAATATAAAATTTAGTTCCCTGGCTCAGTCTGGTTCACGTCATTTGTGTGTGTATGTATCTATAGCCTTGTTCAGAAGCCGTCGTGAGTTATATTGCAGGTATATTGCTGAAAACTCGCTTGGTGTGCAGCCTTTTGCATTTAATTAGAATGGATGAATAGGCTTTTGACACTCATGCGATATGTGCAAAAAGTTTGGACCTTTATGAAACTTATACAGCTTCCTGTAACATTAAAGTCACCCCTTATAGATGGATTATGATTAATGTCCAGTGTGCACGAGTATACCTTTACGCTACTGCGTACAGTCTGATTCAGGGCTACAAAAGCAGCCTCCTTTCATACTTATTGCTTCCCTTCTACGTGACTTTACCGAAAGACCCAAGAAGATCCTTTCATACTCTTAGTTCTTTCGGTAAAGTCACGTAGGTAAAAAATGAAATTAAGATTAATAAAAATAAAATAAAAATCACGACGTTTCGGAGGCAACACAAGTCTCCGTTATCAGGTGGGACCGTCACAGCCAGATTTGCTGCATCAAGCACCTGATGACGTAGACTTGTGTTGCCTCCGAAACGTCGTGATTTTTATTTTATTTTTATTAATTTTAATTTCATTTTTTACCTACGTGACTTTACCGAAAGAACTAAGAATATGAATCCTTGCAGTCACGAAAGCTTCAAATCTACAGCCTCCTTTCGTCTTGCAGACTGCCACAGCAAAGTGCTTTTTTCTGTAAGCGGCAACTATCGAAGCCGGCACAGCATTGCGTGGCAGGACCAGTACAAAGTGCCGCACCACATTGGTCGACGTCGTATTAATGCTGTCACTTTGTGTTGTCACGCAATTCTGTAAATGTCGCTTAGGTGGGTTTGCCTCCCGTTTTCTTAGATTGTTAAAAAGCATTTATTTCAAGTGCTGTGCGGCAGTGTGCCTTGTAACATATATGTGCTGGTGTTTGATGTGGAAACACCATTACAAGCACTAAAAGCATCTTTGAAGCCGAGTGAAAAGTGTTAAATAAAATAATACTTAGCTTCGCTTGACTGTGAGCAAATAAAACTGGAAGATGGTTGTAAATGTGTAATGCACCTGACTCGTATTTTTTATTTCAGAATAACTGTTATTGTGCATTGCTTATATTTAGACTGTTGGCCTAGCCACATTTTTATACTCCTTGGTTCTTTGGGTAAAGTCACGTAGATGAAAAATAATAATATAAAAATAAATAAAAGTAAATTATATCACGACGTTTCGATTGCAACACAAGCAATCATCATCAGGTGTGACAACCACAGCAATTTTTTTTTTACTGAAGTTACTTTACCAAAAGAACCAATAAGTTATGGATCCTTGCATGTAAAGCATTGAATTCACGCGATTTTTTTTTTAAAATGTTTCTTGTGCTCAGGCCAATAAGACCACTTTTGATCCGTCAACCAAAGTGGGAAACACGACTTGGATTCTAACGTCTTGCGACGCAAAGGCTCCGATCGGTAAGACGACATGTCACCACGTTTTCTGAACGCTGAAAACTACAAAGTTTACAGACGCAGCAAAGTAAATTTGCGTTTGTTGTTGTTGATGTGCATTTACTCTCTAAAGTTAAGTGTATATATTCACATCGCTTATATACGCAAACAAATGCAAGTTGCTTGGCCATTATATCAATGTTCGTGATTAACTGTCACAGTTGGAATAGCAATTCATTGAATTATTCAAGAACAATTGCCACTATTGTGCGCATTCGGAGATGAAACCTACACCTCACTGACATTGTAGGGCAATGTGCTGAATTGTATGTATATGTGTATGTATGTTGAGATTCTTTCGCAATCGTACGTAACCAACCGTGCTAATTCGAGGCGTGGGGGAAGGACAACAAACTAAACACAAAAAACAGTTCTAAAGAAATGGCTTTTCAATCTAAATAATTTAAAAGTGCATCGCTCCAGTGGATTCCCAGCATCGGAAGGAAGAGCGCTCGAGACGGCCGCAGAAGCGCATCTGAAAGCGTGCGATGCAAGTGGCCGTCTTTCTCCGATGGCTAGCCACAACCTGCCCTGCGAAGATGTGCCGGAGTTCGCACAGGATGGTTGGTTTATGCTCCTTGACAAAACCAGCAAAGTATCGTGGTTCGTTTGTGTGAGAGCGATGTGTGTGTTTAATGAGTGCGACCTTATAATGTGTTGGTTCGTCGACCTCAAGCCAATGTAGCTCGGCAAGTTCCAGACGCACCACCACCTCTCCCTGCACGGTCACACGGTCGACACGATCTTCATTCTTCTCTCATATACGATCCCACCGTCTGGCTTATTCGCACGTCCCCTTAGCTACGAAACTTTGGTTGCCATCTACAATTTGGGTTTCTGTAACCTGCCCACCTTCCTCCAGACTGCACACGTAGGCCCCAGCCATCACAACCTCCTGTTCCTGATTTTATAGCCCCTTGTTAATCCACTGCTGGATGAAGGCCACTCACCCCCACTTCCCCCCCCCCGCCCACATCGTTTCAGTCATGGGGGTTGCTTTGACCACACTTTCTATCTAGTGCGGGTTGGTGAAGGAGGGCACAGAACCCGTTCGAATATCACTCGCCACTGGTGTTAGCCGTGGCTGGAAATTCAACCCGAGACGCTGGGTGCGTAACGCAGTGTGCATACAAACCACTGCACCGCCGCTCCCCTACATCTGGCGTAATTTGCTGTCGACATTTCGTTGGAAGTTGCTGAACCGATCTTGCCGTGCAGTTCCTAGCCACGAACAACTCGTGCTCTATCTCGCCCTTCTTATGCAATGCATCTCTTTGACATTCCTCGCGCAGCCCCTTGCGTTGTGCTGACTTTGAGGTTCAAATACACAAACTCCTCTGCTCTCCCTAGCTACAATCTCACTTCTCACCCCCCCCCCCCCCCCCACGATGCTTCTCGTAAAAGAACCCAGGAGCCCTCGCGCCTGTCGTCCAACCGAGATTTTTGGAAAGCTCTCGCAAAACAAAAAAGCAAGCAAGCGAGCAAAGCAACGGCAGCAGGCGCCGTTAAGATTTCGCTCCATTTCCTCAAAAACGCATTAGCGATGCTCACGAGCATGCGTGCACGCGTGCGAGCAATCAATAAGATGGGTGTCTTGGCAAGCCCAGATATCGTCTCGGGGCGAGGCGCGCAAGCGTTGAGCGTACTGATTAAACCAAACTCTCTGGGTGGATGGCTGCTTGGGTTACTTCCTCGGCTCGTTATGATAAGATTGGCTGCAGTACAGATTGTTTACGTGTTCAGCGGCACACGCGCGCTTCTTTAAGAGTCTTGTTGCATAAGAATATGCGTCACTATGATGGCTCTTAGAGGCATGTAGATTGCCTTTGTGGGTCAAAGTTTCTTGAATGTTTGTAGTGGTAAAATGTAAAACTCTCCAGTGTGTGATTGATCATCCAGAACGGACCGTACAGCATAGAACGACGCAATGCTCGATCCACAAATACGAAGGAGACATCACAGCGATACACTCCGCTACTCCTGACGCAGTTATCTGACTTGACCACTTGAATGTGAAATTCGTGTTGTTGCTCTGCGTCTACATCAGCCATACGAAAGAAGAAGAAGAAGAAGTGGTATTTTGTGGTTGGGAGACACTTCTTTGTTCACATTAAATGTTATCAGTGACAGTCTATTAGGAAGTAAAACAAACTCTTAAATTTTCAACATATTTTTCGGTACAATGTGCTGATGTATTTATATTACGTTACACGTTTTAACCAAACCTTCATCTGCCCAATCGGTGCGGTGGTTAGCATGCTCAAAACTTTCTAACGTTTCGAGTTCAAATTCCAACTAGGGGTGGTGGATTCGGCGATTCACTCCTCTCGGGTCATTGAAACGATGACCTGTCTAGATGTGTGTATGGGGGGGGGAGCCGTTTGTGGCACTGTGCTGTGAATCCGGAAATCTGAGTTTGATCCCTCGCCCTGGCTAACATCAGCCGTGAGTGATATCTGATCCTAGTCGTCAGACTTTCCTTCGCCAGCCTGTGTTAACCCACCTGCTGACGTATGGTCACACAAACCTCCATGACCACAACAGTGTGGGGGAGGCTTTCACAAAGCAGTGGATTCACAAAGAGCTCTACTTCGATGCATAACATGGCCAGCTCTCGAACAAAGGCGGTCACTTCATCGTGTGCGATTTCAGATTCACTTCTGCGGCTGTCTGGAATGCTCTCCCTTCCGATATTAGGAAGCCCACTGGAGCTATGGGGCCATCCATTGAGTCCGTACGCATGGAGGGGGGAGGGGGGTTAACCCAAATGCGTTCGCTTGCATATGGGGGTCTACTACAATGTACGCATCGGAAATGGGGTGGGGGGGTGAAGCCTCGATAATTATTTGTCTACATTGGCCTTCAAATGAGTTATTCCGGCGGTGGACTATCTGTTTGCTTAAACGCGTTAATAAATTATTAATCCTTGATCGTTTTTGCGTGGATTAAATATCGGCCGTTCTATAGGATTCGGGGGGGGGGGGGTAGGGGGGGTGCGTCAGGCGAACGTACGCAGGTGGGGGGGGGGGGGGTAAAACTTCCGCGTGCGTACAGGGAGGGGGAGGGGGGGAGGGGTCAAGTTTTGACAGATTTTTGCGTACGTACTAAATGGATGGCCCCTATGCACTTTTACACATGTAGTGACATCACGGATGTCACTGTGTAATGCCGGCTCGAGAGAGGCACGGCGTGCGATGTATTGCCATCGCGGGCACCACGTATATGTGGGTGCACTACCGGCCCTAGAGGGGCTCGGTGAGCGCTGTCCCGACAGTGCTGGATGGCACCACGCTCTGCGTGCAGTGCCAACCCCTACAGGATAGGGTGTGAGAGTGCCGGCCATGGAAATGGGTTACTAAGGGCCATGGCACTCTGGCTGACCCCAGAGGACATGTAACGGGTAAAGTCTACACAGGGCCCCCAAGTGGGGGCTAGGGGTGGTCACGTGTCAGGGTCGAGATCCTGCTCGAGGATTCTAGAAGGTGGTCGTGCCTAAGGGCGGAGCCAGCCACGCCACAGAGGATACAAGCCGGGTCCCCGAGCGGGACCGGCTGCTGTTGTTCATCCTGAAGAATCTACGTTCTACGTCCTGTTAGAGTCACCAACACGTGGACTGGGATCCAGGTCAGGGTCTAACTCCAGTGTAATTAGAGTAGTTAGCCTGGTGGTTCACCACCGTAGGTTGTGAATGTGTTAAGGGGTAGTACCCCCGTGTGTTGGTTTTAATAAATGTGTTGCCTCCAAGAAGTGTCTGCGACTTAGTTGAACTCACTACACATAGATTGAAAACTATTTTTTTAGAACTGCTTTTTGTGTTTAGTTTGTTTTCCTTCCCCCCATTAGCATGGTTGGCTACATACGGTGCGAAATAAGTTCAACGTACATACATAATGAGGAGCAGTGGTTCACAGTGGTTAGCGTGAACCTGGCGATTTTGGTTATATTCCTTGACCACATCTAACCTCTTCTTGGTTCTTTCGGTAAAGTCACGTAGAAGGGAAGAAATAAAATAATGAAAATAAAACATGAAATAATTCTCACGACGTTTCGGCCACAACGCAAGCAGCCGTCCTCAGGTCCGTCAAGTAGACTCTGTCTACTTGACAGACCTGTTCTCCACCTGAGGACGGCTGCTTGCGTTGTGGCCGAAACGTCGTGAGAATTATTTTATTATGTTTTATTTTTATTATTTTATTTCTTCCGTTCTACGTGACTTTACCGAAAGAACCAAGAAGATGAATCCCTGCAGTCACGAAAGCTTTAAATCGAAACACATCTAACCTCTTTTGAAAGTGATATCAAAATCTACCCGAGGCCTGTATTAGGCTCGCTCAGCCTTAAATGAGCACCTGCTGTGTGTGTCCTAGCGTGTAAATATCAGCACTGGGGGAGACAAAGGTGGTCGGGTATCGACTGGCCACACCACCCACTCGTGTGTCATTCCATCCTTGATTGATGCTCACTGACGACACTCGTGCCGGTAGTTCTATATGAGGAAACTGGGGGATATTTGTCTCAGATTACATTCGTATGAGAAATAAATAGTGGCTGTGATATGGATAGACTGGCCTCTGCCTATAGGAATGTGGAATTTGTCAGACTGATTCAAGGCTAAAAACATAGATCAGCTCCACCTCAATTCTGGTTTGAACACGGAGGCACTTTGACTTGAATCAAATATCCATATTGTGCAACGTTAATATTTCAGAGCACGTCCCTTCTGTGTATGTTTGTGTGGTTTTGCATCGATTTATTTCAACTTCTAAGGGCCTTTTTCCATGTGAAAAATAAGATTATATCAACACAGGTTATTATTTTGCACAACGAGTCACATGAAAAGGCTGCTAAATATCGGGAGCCTCAGGATGACCTGGTTTACATATGACCCTTAACCTCCTGAAATAGTAATTAAGACGGCTAATGCCACAACCGGTATTATTTAGTTGTGTATTAAAGAATCTTTT